ATACTCTTTTCACGTCTTTTTGTGTAGGTATACGTTTGCCCGAAATAGTTTAAATAGTAAGTAGTTGAAATAGTAAGTTTGCTCTAATTTTCATAATCCCAAATGTATTTTTTAGGAATATTACAAAACAAACCTACGCTGACTTAATCTTTTATTTTTGATAAGGATAAGCAGCCAAAATTCCCCAAAAGCATAATGGTTTTGTTATAAATCGGTTTTCGAGATTATGAAAATTTGAGTTTACGTTTATAATCTGTCTTTTTTGAAGATGGAGTAAAATGACAGTTCATTGTGCAAAGGTGTTGCCCGCTTACAAGCAGCTAGTGATTGCAATCTATAAAATATTCTATCGACCATTGCATGTCCTTATTATTATTATAATGTATATACAGGGTGTAAATTTGAGACGGGGCAGCAAGGCCAGCTACCTTAATCCTTGTAGTTACAGGAAAACGGTTCTAGAAGACATATTTTGATTGGCATTCACAGATTTTGAAAAAAATGGTACAGTCAGCGAGATAAAAGGCAATTTTTACAAAGCTTTTTTTAATGCCATTCGATCCGGTCTCTGGTAAGGATCAATAGTCTCTATGGGACCCATTGAGGTAAGAGTACTCGAAATGTCAGAAATCGCAAAAACCTTTTACTACACTTTTTAAATAAAAACTTTTTGTTAGAAAAGAAACTGGCCACTACTCTACAAATAAGAATGAAGTAAAACCAAATTAAAATCATATTATTATTTTTTAAATTTGGAACTGTTTTGTTTTATTAATAGCGAATTGTCACTTTTAGTACGATTTTTAATGAAAATGTTATCAAATGTGGAAACAAATTAATTGGAACACATGGTCCTATCAAATGGACATAGTTATGTAAACAAGAACCAACCCACAAAATGTCACTTTCGAGATAATTAGATTTTTGTAAATACAGTGTGAAGAAACAAATAGGTAAGTTATTTGAGACAAACAACTTAACAGAGTTATGTGTAGCATTGAGAATGATATAGGAAAACTGATTTATATTGATTTATCTTTGATTTAGGTATTTTTTTAAATCAAAAACCTGGTGGTTCATTATTGCAAAAATACTGTTTTGTGGGATGGTTCTTTACTGTAAAAAGATTTAGGTTTTACAGGTAGACAGATTACTGTAAATAACTTTAAACCCCTTTGTTATCTGTCACTATTTTGTTATGACAAGAACTTACACACTATTAAGTAAAACACTGTTGTTCATCACCCCACATTACCTAATCACCATCGTCCACTTCTACCTCAAAATCAACTTCACCAGAAAACTCATCTATATTATCTTTAACTGTATCATTCCGTATTAAGTTTTAGTAAAAGTGTTGTGCATCTTCTAGTACAAGATGCAACAACCTTTTCGGGCCGTTTAACTTTGCTTCAGGGATGGGATTTCCTCCAGACCAGACCAGATCCATTAATTCTAAGGTTAATCAGGCAGTATTTTCTCGTAAATTTTATCTACTTTTGAATTCATTTAGTCTTTAATCTAGGTTAGATCTCTCAAAAATTAAAAACATAATATCTTTTATATTAAGAAGATACTCTTTTGATACATCAGTTACTTTTACCTTTTTGTTATTTTTTCCAGGTTAGTAAACAACAATAATCTTCTTTTCTCATTTTATAAACTCTGATTAATTTATTTTTTCTGTATACGTTCGTTATTTACATAAAGTCTTCTGTCAAACTGTTGAATTTCTAGAGCAAAGTCGATTGGGCCACATCACATTCTTCACTCCAGTCTCCAGACTCTAGAAAGCGAAGACTACTGTTTGAACTCTTCAGTGATCATCTAATAAAGCTTTCAGTGTCAACTTCATCTTTATATTTCTGTTTTGGCCTACGCAAGGGTCACTCCAAAGTGTTAAGTGCTTCATGCCGTCGTTAAGGCTCTCCATTACGTGCTCAAGAAGGCAGGAGCTCACTTCGAACTCCTACTCACTTCTCCTTCTACCTAAACGTTCCAATAGGCATGGTCGTTACTTCCTGAGTGGGTGCCCGAATTGTAAACCCAAAGCTGTCTTTTGTAAAAAGGTGAGACAGTTTTGGGTTTACTTTACCTCTCCTGCGTATACATGCAGAAGATGCTTACACTAAGCACTTACAAAAAGCTCAGTTTTTGCAAAAGCAGCTCAAAAATGACATGAAATTAGCCCATGGAACTCATTCCACCAAAACAATCACAGTAGGCCGAAGCCTGCATAAAACTTTACCTCTTCTACGTATACTAACTTACCCAAAAATGTGGTATACTATAAAAGACAAAGCTGTCTTTCGGTTAACAATATGGACATCCACTCAGGACATTGGAACATTTAGGTACAAAGATAAGCAAGTAGGGGTCCTGCCTTGTTAAGCATGCAAAGGAGAGACTTGAAGACGGCGTGAAGCATTTACTACTTTGAAATTATTT